AGGGACATGTGTTCTGAAATCTGAAGTGTCCACATTTGTCGAAACGAAGCACAGCGACGAGACTGGAAGATCTAGCGCAGCCCTTAGGTCTGATACGAAAGCACTGCGGATATCCGATTCGTTAGTCACTCGTTGAGGATTTGGATCTTCCTTTAGGGTTCGCATTTGACAGCGAATTCGAAACGAAAAAAGATCCCTGGTAGCCTTGAGTGAAAACATACAGTGTGATCATCGGCTTTCTGTTGTAACCGAAGACCAGGAATCTACGATTGCAAGAGTGGTCCCATGAGAACGGATGTGGTTTTGCAGGGCGAGGTCAATAGTGAGAGGGAGTCAGGAGAACGGACCGGAATACATGGAAGAGACGGTTTTTTTGAAAGGCGGAATGCAGTAAAGCAGATAAAAGACGGTCTAGTGACGAGACAGAGCCGATACAGTTGACATATCCTTACAAGGCGGCGAACTGTTGTCATATCTGAATCCAGAAATGGTGAGGGAGTGTTTGAATATAGGTTAAGAACCACTCAAACGACTGTCGAGGCACTGAGGCATGGTTTCTAGAAAAGCTAGAAAGGTAAGGATGACCATTGTTCTGTATCTGGTGGCCAAATTGGTCCGCCGGAAATTTCAACATCTCCATCGTGGCCCTATCGTATTCTGTGAGATAGCAGAAATTAAAGCGACAAGGAAGGGCGCTTGATGTATTACGATAATTGGGAAGTCCTTTGTTTGAGGAATTGCACCAGGTAACATTAATATGCTGGAGGTCGAACTTTGAGCTTTGCGCTGGGGATTGAGGCGTGAGAAAATGAGCATGCTTCTTATACATCCCCCGCTTCCACCCTTTTTTTCCACTCAAAGCCTATAATGTAAGTTCTGTATACTCTGAGCTTTACATGGAATCAAGGTACTACTTGATTTATTCAGAATAAGACACGATATTTTGGGGCAAAAACGACGCATTCACTTATCCGATAATTGGGCCTATGCTTCTTTTGAAAATTCAGAATGCCAGCCACAAAAGGTACAGTATCAAGATCGTGCTTCCCAAAGGACTTGAGGACACCCTTGTTTAATTTTCAGATTAGATCAGAACAAAAAAAAACACGACTTCCGCTTGCTCCTTCCAGCTTCAAACTTTATTCTCTGCTCAGTTGGAGCTTGTCATAGCAAGAGATTCTTTCAGGAATCCGGATTCAAGCTCTCCAGCATTATCGCTCATCAGAACTCTCTCATATTCCAGATGGAGCCCTCGGAAGGCATTGCAGGGCAACATTGACATGAACTTTCCTCTTTTTCCGCTTGATGCTACATAAACCCTTAACACGTTGTTTTTGCATCGTGTTATCTTGCACCATCGCACTTCATTTTTTGCTAACATGTCGTTCCAATACGCCTTCCTCGATCCGTTCGCGTATTTCGACACGCCGCGAGGCAATCTACCGGCTGCCTCGCGTCCTCTGGCTGGATCTCATCCGGGGCCTACAGGGAATCCCAAAGAGGGTCTAGACGCCAATCCCTTTTCCTCTATCAAATTCTTCAACACGCCTCTTCAACTAGGCTATGAGGAATCAGCTTTATCAAATGCCGGAACCACGGAGGTGAATTCATTCTCTCATGCGTTGGTGATGTATCAACAAGATGCGCCTGTGTATCCACTCGATCTGGAAGGACAGGGTACTATCTCCGTATCTGCATCCGCTGCCGCGGAACTTTGTATTTGCGTCAGTTCTGCCGACCGTTCACGACCGTCGCTGTATCTCGACGTCACCCCGACTTCCTGCACGTTTTCGTACGGGTACTACACTTCGGCGAACATGATCCCCGCGCGCCCCCCGCCTGAATCACCGTATGTAGGTGCTGGAACCGGGCCGGGGATGTATCTGGATGTAAACAGGCAGACCACATACTGGCTGTCGATCGACTGTCCCAACGGAATTCTCAAGTATGGGAAGGGATACATGAGCTCTAATCTTACCCTGTTGGAGGCTCGACTAAAGAAATTGGACGAGCATGGCTGTATGGTCTGGTCTGAGGAAACATGGAGCTTTCTTGAAAAAATCAAGGAAGTTAGAGTTCTTCAAACGGGAGGTGACATGGTAAGACTCTTTTACAACACTCTGTATTCTGAACTTCATATTGATATATCTATACCTTTCTGCTTTAGCGTGCACTCTCCGTGACGACACGAACTCTCCCACTAGTGGACGCTCCGTCACCCTACGTTCTCCCAGATTATCGAATCTCAATGAATGACCTCGAATCGAACAACTATACGGTCATTGCGAATCTACCCGTGGAGTGTCAGGTGAGCTCCAGCAGTCACTTTGTCGCTCCCGATGAACAACAACTTACCGCCTGCAATGATTTATTCATTCCTTCGGATTTACTTACCCACAATCTGGCCACTCCCAATCTATCTTTCACCTCGGATGATACTGTTGATTCCACGATGTTCTCACCATTGGACAATTCGTTCAATCGTTCACTCCCTCCACCTCCTCGGGCTCCGCCACTATCATTACCGGCGGTCGATCCTCCTCCGGGTCCATCTACTGGTACTACTTCATCTACTTCCACATCAACATTATCATCTCCCTTCACTTCTGTTCCTCTCGTCCGTCGGCCGAACGCCAACACCAACTCCAAACACAAAACCACCGCAAAATCCAAACTCAAAATAAACACAAACCTGCGTCGAAAACCACCTTCGCCGTCTCGCCGGTCTGCCAATGCCAAACCCAATCATCAACCTACCTCCGCTCCTGTGGCTGCACCTGCACCTGCCCCTGCCCCTGCACCCCCGTCTTTCCCGCCTTTAACTCTCAACACTCTACATTGTCCGTTCTACTCTGCTCACTTCCCCCATACCTCCTCCGACGCTGCCGCTTCTGGAATATGTACGGCGGCTGATCCACAGAAACTATATGCCAATGTTGCCGGACCCAACATTGTGCTCAATACGCCCGACTTTCCTGCCTTTGGGCGAGCCATTGAACGAAGTGTGAGCACCGAAGGGTGTTTAGGCTATACTTTGCTCATGCGGAAAGCGGGGGAGTTCAGTAAGAAAGGTAAACTTCACGGTGCTGGTGCCGATGGTAAAGAAGAAAAACCAGACTTGACACAAACATATTTGAGGATTACGTTGGGATCGCATATGGTAGGTTCCAGATCATCACTGTCATGTTGTTTTATCCTTTTTTGTTGAATTGACATGCAACGGGGCTTTTCTTCCTTCGAACTCCTTCATGATCCAGCGCTTAGGTGATACATATCGGATTGTTATCTCATCTTTCGCTGGTTGTTTCTCTATTTTCAGAGTTCTAGTGGGAAGATGAGATCTTCAGTACAATTCGAATTCTAGATTGTGGATCTCGTCTTTTTTTCTTTTGCCTAGTCACAGTTTCCACTTTTAGTACACAATTCTTCACTCATTCATTCATTCAACAACCTGAACGATTTCAATGATTTCAACTGAAATCCCAATCATAGGTCAACTCCCCTGGAATCCCATACGTTCTAGAAATCTGGCCTGCAGGTCATTACAGTCCCATACACGAACACGCGGACTCATTTGCTATTATCAAGGTGAGATTATTTTAAACTCTTCACTTCAAAGGGTTCGAGAATCAAACTCGTATATCTCGCGATTGACTTTTTTAACTAATAACGCGATTCATACTCCATAGGTTCTCTATGGCACCATTAACGCCTTTTTTTACGATTCCATTGTCAACCCTGGCGGACCACGGCTGATCATGGATAAGGTCGAGTTAAAGACTGGAGATATTACTTGGATCTCGCCCCAGCACTACCAGGTGCATCAACTGAAGAATCTGAGCAAGCGAAAGGAGGACGGCGGTGAGGGAACGGTTTGTTGTACGCTGCAGTGTTACCAGTAAATCCCTTCTATACTTCAGCCCGCGAAACTATATTGATATACAATCTAGATACGCCTATAACGACAAGATACATTACGAGAATTTCCGATACATCCCAAACTCCTCCAACTCATCACCTACCTCGTCTCCAAACGACTCTGGGTACGAATCAGAGCCAGATATGATGGACTTTCAGCCGAACAGTGATATGTCCTTTGGCGTGTTTAAGGCCGCTATACGGAGAGAATGGGAGGAGTATATGACTACTGATATAGGGAGGAAGGAGGAGGCGGAGTACCTGACTGCTGAGAAGGCAAAGAACTTGGCGGCTGCGATGAAAGGTTTGAAGGCAGAAGGAGAAATTGATGGGAATTCGGCTGCGGCGAAGAAAGCAGCGGAGTTGGCTGATATTATGGCTAGGAGAGAGAGGATGGTGGAGATGGGTATGGAGGGATCGATGGAAGCTAGGGCAGAGGCAGTGATGATGGAGGTTGGGAAGTGACCTGAAGCCCTGGGTGTATTTAGACCATTTTGAGTCTCGGGTCCACTCTTACATCTTAGATGAATCTGTTGAGGAAAATTATGATATGTCCAGACCGATGTATTGTAGTGTATAGAATGTCCAAGATACTAAAATACAACATAAACGGTATAGAACATTTACTGCCCTTTGCATAATTTCGCGACGATACGGGCACTTTTCTGCGGGTCTAGACTCAAGCAAGTGATTTCCAGGACTAGCCTGACGGTTCAACAAAATGTTACTCGCTATTCTTCAACATCATTCAGGTCCTTTCATCCTTTCAAAGATACAGAGATGGCTTATTTTATGTGTAAGACTTCCACCAAGTTCTCGTTTAGTCTGCCACTTGTTGCAGAGGATTAAGGCTTGTACATTGCTTTCGATTAAACTCGCTTATCGGCGGTAGAAAAAAAAAACATCAATACTTATAGTCAGCCATTTATCTCGATTTGGTTGAAATGAAGGGGGACGTCTGAGAAAAAGACCGCAGGTTTGTTCCGAACGATTCGTGATTTTCAATTGAGCACCAAACAGGCGCGAGAGCTGCAGATAGTTATGCAAAACCAATAGCAATAAACCTAGTTACTAAGTAATCCAACCGACGACGGGGATCGAACCCGCAACTTCAGCCTTCTTAAACGTATATAGGAAAGCTACGCGCTACCATTGCGCCACGCCGGCAACATCATTATTTTCTCATCCTTTCGATCATGACAGCAAAAATAAATGTAACATCTGCTTCAGCGACCAAGCTACAATGTTAAACTCTTATACTCGAACAAAACGGATAAGAGTCATGATCCTAAAGCCTAAAGAGTCAGGATGAGCAATGACTTCCTGAGCAGGAAGGGAACAAAGGATAGCAAGTCACGTGGAGGTTTCCCTTGTAATTCTTCCAATCCGATAAAAGGTCCAAAACTGTCCTCTCTCTTACTCTTATTCTCCCTCCCTCTTACTATTACTTTGCACTCCTTTGACATATTCAACAACAAAACTTGGTAATCTTCACAATTGGCAAAAGGTGTAAGAAATTTATCTGAGAAGATAGAGTCTGCTTCCGGTACGTTGCCACTCACCCGTTAATTGTATGAATTTAATTTGTTCTAATCCTCCGTATAGAATGAACCACAATAACACATTCCCTAACCCTTCTTCTCCACTTGGTGGTCTTCTGCTAGAGCTAGTCCGAGACCATGAACGAGCACGACCAAACGACGCGTTACAGTTCTGCTCTAATTGGTTCCAATTGAGGTTGGAGGAACAGAGGACTCGAGCCAGAGATGCGCTAGGCGCGTTGGGTGGCAACACGTCATATGGAGAAGTAGGACGCGGAAGTACTGGCTCGTTTTCCAATCGGCAATCCTTTGGCACTCACGGCACCCTCAGCCGTCGTACATCAATCTTTGTCGACGTTCCTCAGAGTGTCTCGACAGCAGGCGTAGCAGGAGCAGATGACGAAGCAATCGATCCGCTCGAAAGAAAGAGGGCAAGTACCGGCTCGAATTTCAGCGGAGGAAGAAACAGCCAGAGGAACTCTAGCGCAGGTGGAATTTTCAGCAATCCTTTTGCAAAGTCATCGGCCACTCCGCCCCCAAACTTCCCTCCTACAATTGCTGAGCCAACTCCAGCATCTTCTTCTAACATAGGATTCACCAATCCATTTTCGCCTTCCTCAACACCTCTTAGTCCTCTCGCACCTCTCCCTGCCAACGGAACGAATCCCTCTCCAGGAGATTTTCTCCATCCTCCCAACAGCGCAATATTTGCAAGGCGGACAAGCGTCAGTGCGGAGAGTATTCCTATTGAGGAGCTTGAGGGCGGCGGTGGATATCCAGGTAGGTTACCCTGAATACTTTGCTGACTACATCATGACCTCTCTTCCAGGGAATTCACGCTACCTTCCTCCCTATCACCCCAAATCTCCCACTCAACTTGCCCGCATAAAAGCCTCCATCGCAAATAATTTCATCTTCCGTGACCTAGACGAGGAACAGGAAACCGGTGTTCTTAATGCAATGCAGGAGGTCGCCGTTGGAGAAGGCGAAGAAGTGATTAGACAGGGAGATGTAGGAGAATATTTCTATGTCGTGGAGAGTGGCATATTGGATTGTTACATCAAATCTGAAGGGAGTCAAGCTGCTCCAGTGCCTACGCCATCATCTCCAACTTCTCCCACCACTTCGTCCTCTGCAGACACTTACCCTCCACCTCTCACCTCTCACCCACGCTACGGTGTCCTCGTCGCTTCCTGTCCACCAGGAACGTCGTTTGGTGAGCTCGCACTCATGTACGGGCATCCCCGTGCCGCAACCGTTCTCTCCCGTGTTTCATCTCTTCTCTGGGCTCTGGATCGAATCACATTTCGCACTATCATCCTCAAAGCTGCTCATCGCCGCCGAACCATGTATGAAGGCTTTTTAAAGGAAGTAGTTCTATTGAAGGGACTCAGTCAGGGCGAAAGAAGTAAGATCGCCGATGCCTTGGTCAGTCGTGTGTATGAGGATGGTGAGAATGTTGTTCAGCAAGGAGAAATGGGTGATACGTTCTTTTTCGTCGAAGAAGGAGAGGCTATCGTTACGAAGAGGGTGCCAAGGGGAGAGAGAAGGGGATCTGCATATGTAATTCCACCGGGGTTGAATGGACAAAGAGTCGATGGAGACGCAGACGACGACACAGAGGAAATTATTGTCGGGCGACTCATCAAAGGGGACTACTTTGGCGAGCTTTCCCTGTTAAGGCTCGCTCCGAGGGCTGCGACCGTCTCAGCCATAGCTCGTCCTCCAGCTCCTCTGACTTTATCGGCTCCGTTGCCAACGGTGGGTGAAGAACAAGATACCACACCGACCTCAATAAGTTCAACACCAACATTCAATATTACACCCTCTTCGCCTGCTGTAGGCATTCCTCGTTCTACGTTCCCTCCTACACAACCGACAAAATCGAATCTGAATACGTCTTACACTCCCATCGTTGTCGGAGGAAGGCTCGGGCCTAAGCTTAAAGTCGCTGCACTTGATGCTCCGGCATTCACCAGGTTGCTTGGGCCGTTGAGGGAAATTATGGAGAGGCGGGCGGGGGAAAGTTACTTGATGTAAATAGCAGGCACAATTGCAAAATTGCAGGTACTTAATTGAGGCTGCTTGTCAGAACATATCCATCCCACTGGTGATGTTGCTTGCATCGTGTAAATAAGATTTGTTGTATGACTTTCTCTAATCTTTTAGTTCCCTCGTTCTAACCACACAAACTTTCTTGTATCGAAATCTTACTTGTCAACAAATACCTAGCACGTCCTTGTGTAGTTGTAGGCTGTAATTTATTCTGAGTGCTGTTTCTTTATAAGTTTTTTTTTTCCAAAAAGTGATGCCATGAGCAGAGATACGCTAAGTGGTATGGAGTTTATCGGTATGATCGCATGGAAGTCCGTCGAATCAGGATTATTCTTCTTGTCCATCGCTCCTGGCAGATCTGAAACCCCTTTTAAACATTGCTCGCAAGGGAAGGACTAAGGGTTGCAAACAGTTTGTGAAATACACCAGGCAAGTATATGAAAGGATAAAGAAGTCTAGTTTGAGCAAAAGGCTCCTCTCTTGTTTGGTTGAGGGCGCCTCGCCCCTAAGAAAGGTCCGGACGTTCCATCTTGTTGACATTGAAGAGCCGGAAAGAGGACAGCCGCTCGTCTATCGTCTATCATGATCAGTTGATCCCAACGTTTTTGATGGCGGAAATCCAGGACCCCATCAAGCATACTTACTGAGTAGAATATACATAGTACAGAGATGCGGCAAATAATTCGATGAAACAACAAAAATCTCAATCCTCTCAAATTGCCTGAGGCCACAATTGCAGTGGTTCCCCGCTGGGTCGTTAAAATCAAAGCAGGAAGCCTACATGTTATAACTTTGATCATTATCTTGAATACAAATGCTGATACTCATATGTATACCTGGCGGTAAGCATAGTAAAATTTCCGAACCCTCTGGAGGTACGTAGGCCCGGTAATTATTTATAATGAAAATGTTGCATGCCTTAAGAGCATCATTGGTATCTTGAACATGAGTCAACGTAACCCTGAAAAGTCAAGGCTATGATTGACTTACTAAAACAGGAACTAGAGGACAATGGACAGCGCAAGGAGTTACGCTTTGCCACCCTCTCATGTGACCGTTGCATGATAGCCTCTTAAGCGCGTCTCCTCATTGTCCGAGCAGTCACTCACTCTTAAACTCATTCTCATACCACAACGCATCCCACTGAACCATGGAACCAAACCCAGAAAATGAGCCCTCAGCTCACCTCCCTGACATTCCAAAAACTCCTGCTCAGAAGCAGCGGACGTATGGTCCGCCTGTCGTCACAAGCACACCCCAGAGCAACACATATGGTGCTCATGCGAAGGACGAGGTTCCCCAGCGTGCTTCAGTCCTCAACCGGTTTCTCGAGGATGATGTCAATGACAGAGTCGTTCTCACCCTCAATGACTTTGCGACGGTTATCCTTGACCTTCCATCCGATTGGGAAGTCAAAGAGAATTTTGATCTGCCACCGGAAAGCAAAGCAGTGAAGGACGCCTTTGAGGCATACCTAAAGGTCGCAGAAGGGGTGCCAACGGGTCAAGGAAAACGCGAGAGGGTGCTTTACCAACCACTTGCAAATTTGTTGAACACGTTGAGGAACGGAACGGGGCTGGTAGACAATGGTATAGATGAAAAGCTGTTTTACGTGCAGGATCCTCGTCCAGTACTGGGCTCGTTACTTGCTCGGAAGCCAGATCTTGGTGGAATCTACACCCAACTACTGCAGCTCGCAGAGAACAGAAATTTATCAACATATCTTGCGAAGAAGAAGATCGTCGGCGTATTTTGGGGATTATTGCTGTTCTTCGTGGAGATCAAGCACCGAAATGGAAATTTCATAGGCCTCAGTGCCAGTAAAGGAGGTATGTTATGAAAGTCAATCTTATATCACCGAATTAACACACATACCGATCACAGCTGGGACTGGCACACCCAAGAACGGCTCTTCGAAGCCGGTTGAATCGCAACAGGAATCGAGAGAGGCTTCACAGATCGAATCCACATTTTCTCATTCAATTCGTTCACAGAGCATATCAAACAAGCGCAAAGGAATGGAGGATGTGATCGAACCTACTGGTGCGTCTGGGTCATTAACGGTGTGATTCATTTCTGATATGTCTGTAGATCAAGTTACCCGACCTACTAAAAAGGTCAAGTCGCAGTCGACCAACGAGCCACCGAGGAGATCCGCGAGATTAGCAAATGTTCGAGGTGAATGGAGATGTCCATTGGATCATTCAAAATAGACAATTGACGTTGAGCCCTTGCGTAGAAGCGTGCACAAGTTCAAGTTCTTCGTTTAGCCTACAGTCACTGTCCCGTGAGCAGTCTGGAGCGTTATCATCTACCGAAACATCCCCACAATCGAACATGCCTCCTCCTGCTTCTGCTACTGCTTCAACGAGCAGTGGCAAAGAGGATATGGCCGGAGTTACTATTCACCAGAGCGGAGGTAAAGACATGACCGTGGAGGTTGAGACGTCGCAGTTGTACGAGCTGAAAGCAGAGGAGGCATTGGAGGAAGAAGAAAATTTGACCCCGACGCAGGGACAACGCCTAACGCGGATCCAGTGTGCGAGTTATGCGAAGGAAATGCTGTCGAAT